GATGAAAAGTATTTCATTAATATAAGCAGTTCATTGTTTGCTATTTTTTCTTCTTTTGCTGTTGTTTCTGAAGCTAATCATAAATATTAGTTTTTTTTTCTATATCAAGGCGGATATAAAGTGATTTAACTAATACTGGTGTTAGATAATTGGTTTGTTTGTTAGGTCCCACTTTTACTTCTTGCAGTTTCCTGTCGTATCTAGCTTGACTTCTTTCTCATCTCTTAATTGTAGGGTATGTAAGCAAGATTCTCCAATCCCGGCAACTTTTCCTGGACACTTTCCTAGTTTTGGATACACATGTTTGATAGCCGATCACCTTTTTTATCACAAATTTAAAAAAAATAAAACAAAATTTTTGTACGGTTGTTTAAAAAGGGTACAAGATAAGAATAAATGGATCGTAGTAGACAAAGGAAGCAGTATCGATAGCTTAACAAATTTTAAATACAATTCCGATAATTTAATACAATTGTATTGAAAAGAGTCAGTTTGAACACTGTTATTATGCAGTCCAGTCTACATTGAAAGAATATAAAATGCACTGCCTGTCTCGAAATTATGCATCCTATATTTCGAAGCTGTCAAAGAACTACATCCGGATGATAATATGAGATACGTTACGGTTTGTGAAGATTTTCAAAATTCAAGACTAATTGATTGACATTCATAAGGATAAAACAGAACTACGGTATTAGAATAAATTCCAAGCAAGTATAGATTTGCTCATTTATCGAGATTGTTTACGGCGAGGTGATACAATCAAATAAGATTGAAATCGCGATCCTCGTCGATAAATTTCTGACCCCGAACTTAATAATTTCGAATTATTCAGACCGGCATCTCTACTTTTCCCGTTTGAATACCACATATTGTACATCATATATTTCCATAAATCACGGTCAGTTACAGTTTTGTGGGGTTGATGGCATAGAGAAAATTAAAAAAAAAAAACAAAATAAAGAAAATGTCAAGGGTCGTTTTGCAAACATAGAAACCAACGCAATTTCAATTGGTGGTCCCCTTAAGAAATAAAAAAAGAAAACGACGAAGAGCATGTTCTTCACTTTCTGCCTTTTAAGTGAAGGAGCGCTTTCCCTCTGTTTCTCGGTTAATATGAGAATTCATGTCTGTGCTAATGTCAGGGGAGCTTAATAAAGGATGCTTCTACTACCGGTGGTGCAGCCATGGTGTGGTGTCGTCACCGCCGCACTGCCCGTTCTTCTTTTTCGAGAGGTTTGCACGCGAAGCAAATAAGGGCGCGGTAATCTCGTCGGTAGAGAAAATAACAAGATCATTAGGAAAGTAGAAAGCTAACACGAGATGTTACTACTCCACCCAGACCAGTCTGTCGGCTTTCAAATTAACCGGCATCCCTTAAGGACGACTTTCGGAAGTTACACTGTGAAAAAAGATGGTTTTATACTAAAATTAGTAAATAAGTAACTGTACGAGATACATATCCAACATATGATTTGACTGAGCTATTATAAATCAACAGTGAAACAAAACGGTTGTTAATATTACAAATCCAATCAAAAACGGCTAAGTTTAACCAAATTTGAAACCATTAAAAATCAGCTGGTATAAAAAATGCTACCTTTTAACAGTTTCATCAAATCAAATTTTGCAGATGTTGTGTAAAATGCTGTGACTGCCGAAACCTCATAATAAACGCCTTTTTACAATCTCGATATTCATTTCATCTGTTTTTAGTTTAACAAACTGTCAGTTAAATTAGTGTTTTGCTGTATGATTTGAAAGTTCGGCTTTAATATCTCATTTGTGTAGGGGATTTCTCCAGTTTTGTATGAGCACGTCACACTTTTGGTGCATATTTTAGATAGGTATTTATTATGAATGGACAGAAATATCATTAGCAAATTACTGCAGGTAGTGTAGATGTTAACAACATAAAACTCATTTGTGTATGTTAGCGTTATGGCAGATAAAAAGTAAAAAAGGGTAGAGCATCTTCCGGGAATCCTGAGCATATCCAAACAGTGCCGGATTAAGCCAGCGCGGGGCCTCTAGCAAATTCTATCAAGGGGCCCTTAGACTGTTTTAGGTTAGGTTCTTATCGAGTTTATGGTATTAAATAAAACAAAACTGTTACAAACAAACTTTTCTCGATTTAATTTGGGCAAATTTATAAACAATGCTGTTGATATCGACTTCTCGGAGTAAATCATCATTTTGAAGTAAATATTTTCTTCATAGTAATTGTGAGTTGTGACTAAATCTAATATATAAATAATACTTTTTTATGGTCAGAAAACGTTGGTGCGCGGGGCCCCCAAATGCGCGGACCCGCAGCATTTGCTACTCTTGCTTCGTGGCTAATCCGGCACTGTATATATCCAAACACATTAGAATACGAACAAAGAAATTCGAAGTGGTTAGTATTCTGTCGAAACTGCCAGACGCGGATCGCGATTTCGATCTTGTTGGATCTTATCAGCGCGTCGCAGACAGTTTCGATAGAACACAGACCAATTTTACCTGCTGTCTTAACACAGTCCTACAAATGGAACTGTAAACTCAATTTGTAGTACAGTGCTATACTTCGTTTACTTTTTGTAGCGATGTGACCTTTAGCTTGACCGGCGCAAAGTAGAAAAGAACAGTACTAGGCCAGAAAAGGAAGGAGACAATTCTCGGCCAAACTCTTAAGCGGTGAGGAGCGTATAATTCGTACAGTACTGCACGGAAAAATTGACCATTTTATCCACTACAATTGCATTGCTCAAATATGCTGTTATTGGTACCATTTACTACTGAAAATATCAACGAGATGTATATTTATATTTGAAGACATATAGACTTTAACGCTTGTTTTAGACTCGCACTACTATTCATGATTGAACAAAACCTTTGGCAGGTAATGTATGAAAAAGTATGTTTAATGAACAAGAGTCGAAAGTATAATGAGGTTTTTTGTCCCTATCTACGATTTTGCCAGCGCGCATTCAAAACACTGGAAGGGGCACTTCGCTAGAGAAAGTAAATGAAATATACTCTTGGTGGATTCAATATGCTCAACAAGGTCTACTTAAATAGATGGATATCTACTTGCTGAACTGAATCCAGGCGTAGCTCACCACTACGTGATAGGCACGTTACCATAATCAAACAAATAATATTGATTCCACTAAAGGTAGCATTGTACATCACATCAGAATACTTACGATTTTCTTCCGACTGCAACGATTGTTTTTAAGTATAAAAGTTGAGGTTGCCATAGTATTTTAGTAACGAGCGTTTGTTGATTTCTTTATTTTTATTATTATTTCGTCGTTTGTCGCGTATAACCTCCCAAACATATATTCCTATTACGATGAAACTTTGCTGAGTTGCTGTCCACAGCTCAAAAAGTATTTCTGATTTAAGAAAAAGTGGACTTTTACTCGTATCTCTAATTTCGATACTTTTGGACCCCCTCCTCCTTGTTGTCTATCGTAGCTTTTCGCCAACCCCTCCTCCTAAAGATACGTTGCTTCTTTTCATTTTAGCTTTCCCAATACAAAAAAAAAAGTTAGTTTCACTTTTAGTTGATGTCATTAACAGGAACAAACTGTGAGATTAACTACTCATTTAAATCTTTAATCACAGGAAATTGTCGATTATCAGGGTCGTCATAAATTGGCTAAAAAATCAATTGCACTTGTCAAAATAGAACAACACAACATGAGCCACATAACATTTGTCAAACACACAGCTAGTAGTTAAACGTAAATAAAGTAACGTTGAAGATCTTTAAAGTAGCCTTCTGTCAGACCTCATTCACCCCTCAGACAGCTACGTGGTTTATGGAAGACCCCCAACCAGTAATTAGTTAAAAAGGTGAACTTGACAACAAAATATCATTCGACGTGTTAATGGCTCAACTGACTGAATAATCATGATGGGCTTGCCAATGATTGTGTGCATTACCATATTCGTTATAATTATTCACTTTTACTTACTGTTGCTTGAGCATTATGGAAAGCATTCACGTTTGCATTATACTCCTATTAAAGTCCCATAGAACGCTTTATTGTTAAAAATAATTTTTATTAGAATAATTTCATTCATAGTGTTAAAGGTTAGAGAAAAAAATAACTAAAAATACAGACACTAAGAAAAAGTGTAGACCAGCCACGTAATCAATTAAAATAATGGAAAGTATTCCGAGATTGCTAATTATTTTGTCAAATTTAGTTAGTATATAATTGTTATTAAAAGTTACGAGTTTAGAAATAGATGGTACGCTAATATAAAATAAAAAAATTGGCAGTTATAGGGACTGCCGATAGAAGTGAAACTTAGAACTTTTAGTATTAAAATTTGAAATTTCACAATGTTTGAATAAAAATTATCAACATCAATCTGGTTTTCACATCTATTGACACTCCGAGCAACAATTATATGCATGTTTATATGGTTTTTTATTACTCAAATATTTACATAAATTTCAATGTACTTGATTTTTAACATTGTTTGCATCATTGTCATCATTAATTTCAACAATTCTTAGACTTTTTGTACTTTCAATTATTTCGTTGTGTTCTAAAAAAAAATACAATAGGCTTATGGTAACTAAAGTAAGAAATGAAAACGTTTGATTGAAATTTATCTAAGTATCACGTGAAAATCGCATCGATCGTTGTAGCTGTATAGCTACAGATATACTCAGATATACTGCTACAAGCATGTCGGTGACGCGAACGCACTAGATTTCACCCATCCGAAAAGCGTATAACGCCTACAGCACGCGGCCGCTGCGCGTGCGCCAGTCGTGACCATGTCGGTGACGCGAACCCATAACATTTTCCCCTGCCAAAAAGTGCCCAACGTCGCTAAAGAAGTTTTCACTTCAAAAAGCAAACACTTGTTCTTCATAATCAGAAAATGGGTCTGAAACAAAAATATTCGAATAAAATAGTAATATGCGCTATTTACTTGAACAATTACAATCTTCGGCAGAATAAACGTTTACTTGACTACGTGTTTTGTTTCAGGATGCCAGAAGTCACACAAACCTTGGGGCGATACTTCACCTGAATGGAAAATACAAGGAGGCCGCAGCTAGTTATCGGGAAGCCCTACGACTGCAACCCGGTGACGTTACAACACTTACGAACTTACACAAATTACACAGCACAATGATGACGACTTGACTAAAAGCGTGACAAGTGACATTATAGTTTTACTAATGCTTCCTTACTCTAGCCCTAGAAAGTAGTGACGTCAGCCAACATCATTGGAATAGCTGTTGCGAATTGTGCCTTCGGCTGTGCTAAGTATTGTTATGTCTTCAAACTATTGTAGATAGGCAACCATACAGTTTTTCTAAGGCTCATATAATTTAAAGATATTTTTTTTATTAATAAGAAGCTAAATATTTTGCAGACTATTTTTCTATTATTCAATTCAAACCATATACCTGCGGTCAGAACTAGTTTTGAACCATTGCTATTCTCAGCAGCTTAACTAACTTACTTCAAAACTTCTGTTTGCATAAAAAAAAATAGAAAGAGGAGACTGTGGTAAATATTAATTAAAATTTAAAAAGAAAACTCACCCTTAATTACCACAAATAATTTTGTATCAGCAGACACGTGTTTCTCCCACTTCATACGTGGGCATTATCAACGCGAGACTGGTTCTAAAATTTACAATTGTAACTATTTATAGTGGCGAGAGTTGAAGACCGAAAGAAGAAATAATGGAAAACAAATTACATAGGTTTGGGAGGAAAACTTGAATACGTTCAATGCCATTTGTAAAATGCTTTAGAAGCCAATCTTTTGGCCGTGAAAAACAGCTCTACAAATGTATGCTTCGATAAACAAGTGAGGAATTAGATTTGGAGGGAATGTGTGTGTCAATAACCGTTAGTACAATTCGTAAGGCCTTTATGACCCAGTTTTATGTACAAAATCTAATCTGGGAAAAGGGGGGAAAAACAGTGAACGAGCGTGTTCATTACCCACAGTTCAAAGGCCTATTGGGCCTGTTTTTACTGCGTACGCTTCAACAAACGAAAACCTTCTCCCTTACAGTTTTCGTTTGTTGAAGCATACGCAGTAAAAGACAGGCCCAATAGGCCTTTGAAATGCGGGTATTGAACACGCTCGTTCACTGTTTTTCCCCCCTTTTCCCAGATTAGGTAGGTTGTTATGAAGCATACGTTTTGTACATAAAACTGGGCCATAAAGGCCTTACGAATTGTACTAACGGTTATTGACACACACATTCTCTCCAAATCTAATTCCTCACTTGTTTATCGAAGCATACATTTGTAGAGCTGTTTTTCATGGCCAAAAGATTGACTTCTAAAACATTTTACAAATGGCATTGAACGTATTCAAGTTTTCCTCTCAAACTTATGTAATCTGCTTTCCATTATTTCTTCTTTCGGTCTTCAACCCTCGCCACTATAAATAGTTAGAATTGTAAATTTTAGAACCAGTCTCGCGTTGATAATGCCCACGTATGAAGTGGGCGAAACACGTGTCCGCTCATATAAAATTATTTGTGGTAATTAGGGGTGAGTATTCCTTTTAATTTTTATTTTTTTTTTGCATGGTACCTATTTTTAAATGGCTTTTTTAGTAGGATTAGTACCATCCTCATTCTCAAAAAGGAATTTGTTACTGACACATATTTCTCAATCAAAAAGTTGTTCAAGTAGAATAATTAAGTGCATTTTTTATATAAGCATTGGTGCCATACAAACTAAAAGAAATCTGTTCGTTAGTCTAAATGTTGCCTAGCTGCAAATATTCGTTGACAACTGTAAAAAAATTGGAAGTGGTTCTCTTCGACCACTGAGGTTTCATCAACGAATTAAACATGAACTTGTATAATACCTAATCCATTACATTATTAACTAATGCAACTATTTTTAAGTAAATTGCCAAATGTGATTAAAAATATCAGAAAATTTATTCACATGAAAATCAAAAGAATGAACTAACGTAGTCTAAAATAACGAAGACAACCTCTGCATTTATGTGACACCATAGTAATAATTTGATTACGAGTGATAGCCGCAGGTAGAATGAGAAAGTCACTACGTGATGAAATAGTTATTCTGGTATCAGTAAACTTTTGTAACATAATTTTAATTTATAATTTGAAATGTAGTGATGAGAATTTTCAACGGAATAAATAACTAGTTGAGGTTTCTGCTGATATTAAAACTGCATGAGCATCTAAACTGCTCTAAAACACTTCGAGAGCAAAGTAAAGAGAAAATTGCAAAATGTAAGCCAATAAATGTAGATGTAATGCCGTTCTGAGTAAGGAGATACCTGCAAACAAACGCTTTGTAATGCCAGGGACAGTTAATTAAAAAAGTAGATTGATTATGTTTCTTCGGGAAATTGAGATGAAGTTGTCAAAAGAGAATAATGGATCGATACTGTATTAGAGTGTGTTTGTAATTTCTTTTCTTGGACCGTTTCCTTGTACTACAAAATTAAAGCTGACTACCTAAATTAAATGGAAACGTCTTGACAGAAAGTTCAGTAATTATTTATTTGAAGTAACAGATAAAAGAAGAGGTTATTATTGTATTTGATTTAATATTTCATTTGTGCTCTGCAGAATATTCTCAGACAGTTTTAATCCTGATTATCGGAAGTAACTTATAATCCTCTGCATCATCATTAATTTCAACAATTCTTAGACTTTTTGTACTTTCAATTATTTCGTTGTGTTCTAAAAAAAAATACAATAGGCTTATGGTAACTAAAGTAAGAAATGAAAACGTTTGATTGAAATTTATCTAAGTATCACGTGAAAATCGCATCGATCGTTGTAGCTGTATAGCTACAGATATACTCAGATATACTGCTACAAGCATGTCGGTGACGCGAACGCACTAGATTTCACCCATCCGAAAAGCGTATAACGCCTACAGCACGCGGCCGCTGCGCGTGCGCCAGTCGTGACCATGTCGGTGACGCGAACCCATAACATTTTCCCCTGCCAAAAAGTGCCCAACGTCGCTAAAGAAGTTTTCACTTCAAAAAGCAAACACTTGTTCTTCATAATCAGAAAATGGGTCTGAAACAAAAATATTCGAATAAAATAGTAATATGCGCTATTTACTTGAACAATTACAATCTTCGGCAGAATAAACGTTTACTTGACTACGTGTTTTGTTTCAGGATGCCAGAAGTCACACAAACCTTGGGGCGATACTTCACCTGAATGGAAAATACAAGGAGGCCGCAGCTAGTTATCGGGAAGCCCTACGACTGCAACCCGGTGACGTTACAACACTTACGAACTTACACAAATTACACAGCACAATGATGACGACTTGACTAAAAGCGTGACAAGTGACATTATAGTTTTACTAATGCTTCCTTACTCTAGCCCTAGAAAGTAGTGACGTCAGCCAACATCATTGGAATAGCTGTTGCGAATTGTGCCTTCGGCTGTGCTAAGTATTGTTATGTCTTCAAACTATTGTAGATAGGCAACCATACAGTTTTTCTAAGGCTCATATAATTTAAAGATATTTTTTTTATTAATAAGAAGCTAAATATTTTGCAGACTATTTTTCTATTATTCAATTCAAACCATATACCTGCGGTCAGAACTAGTTTTGAACCATTGCTATTCTCAGCAGCTTAACTAACTTACTTCAAAACTTCTGTTTGCATAAAAAAAAATAGAAAGAGGAGACTGTGGTAAATATTAATTAAAATTTAAAAAGAAAACTCACCCTTAATTACCACAAATAATTTTGTATCAGCAGACACGTGTTTCTCCCACTTCATACGTGGGCATTATCAACGCGAGACTGGTTCTAAAATTTACAATTGTAACTATTTATAGTGGCGAGAGTTGAAGACCGAAAGAAGAAATAATGGAAAACAAATTACATAGGTTTGGGAGGAAAACTTGAATACGTTCAATGCCATTTGTAAAATGCTTTAGAAGCCAATCTTTTGGCCACGAAAAACAGCTCTACAAATGTATGCTTCGATAAACAAGTGAGGAATTAGATTTGGAGGGAATGTGTGTGTCAATAACCGTTAGTACAATTCGTAAGGCCTTTATGGCCCAATTTTATGTACAAAACGTATGCTTCATCACAACC